CGGAAGAAGGGGCAAGGTGGGGTCACTTGAACCCCCTGGATTTTCAAAAAGAAAAAAAAACTAGATATGTAAAATTATTCTTCTATGTTATTGGAAAATCATAAGGTATTTGTATTTCGATTTCATAATTTTTTCAAACTTGAGTTACTTGATCCCTCCTAATTTGTTTTTCTGCGGGCGCCCTTGCCGTGAAATCTTGTAAGTGTAGTAAGAGTTGGTATAATAAGCCTAAAGTAAAGACATAGTGTGGGCTCACCTAGCCTAGAGCCACGTGCATCAAATGTACCATGAAAGTAAAAATATCGATGCAATTTTAAACTTCAATCGTTTCTGAATTAAGCTATTTTCTATTATATCACCAACGTTTTTAATAAAAAACAAACCTCTTTAGTCAACGGAGACTCTAAACTAAGAAATCAACAAATATTTTTCCAGTTTTGTTGTCTAGACCTTTCATTTTATATTTTCAATACATAGAATAACAATAATATTAGGTTATACGTTTGATGCTAAGCAACATGGCATAAAAGCCATTGTTGGGACGTAGTGTTACCAAAACACACAGGCTTCTCTATATATTAGAAATTGTTAATCTAATTGATTTTTACCAATATTATTCTATGAATTCGCCACGAATCCATTTCATGAATGATCCTAATTTTGATTGGCTCACAAAGGAATTTACCGGCGTTTGACTGCCTCGACAGCACTTTTCTGACTCTTTGTTGGTGAAGCTTGATTCCGCAAAATTTATATATTTCAATTAACTATAAAATGTGAGGTTAGGGTATTCTATGGGGTGGGGGTGATAGTATTTGCCCCGTCATTCTTGACTGGCTATACGCTAGTCTAATACTATAAAACACAGTGTCTGTATGTCTGTCACGCACTGATGTCACAACAACTTGTTACGTAATTGAAATAGTTTGGCTTCCTATCAATTAGAAGCGAGTAGTCTACGATTGATCGAAAATTAAAGATATATTTGGTCTAAAATGTACAAAAAAATCGCACCTTTTCAAAACGTACATTTGTTAAATCGTCGAGTTACGCTAGAGAGGGCGTAAATATACTTTAGTAGACATTTTATACAACATGTTAAATCGTCGAGTTACGCTAGAGAGGGCGTAAATATACTTTAGTAGACATTTTATACAACATGTTAAATCGTCGAGTTACGCTAGAGAGGGCGTAAATATACTTTAGTAGACATTTTATACAACATATTAAAAGGTTATCAAAGTTTTAAATAGGTCTAGCGTTAGGTCGTAAAATAATATTAGAAGATTATTTATTTATAGTATTAAGTGCGGTAAGGTTTAGTCCTAACTGAACTAAAAAAACGTAGTCAAGTTACTGTGTTAATTTATTTCTTTATCGAATATAGGCCGTACTTAATATAGGCTTTTACTAATGTTAGGACTGAGACAAGTGGAGTTATAGATATCAGTTGTAATAAAAATATTAATTTGGACCCAAATATTTTGCGGGTCTCTGCTAGTATTAAATAAATCTGGAATGAGAGAATGTGTTCATAAGAAACGTATTTCACAGAGAAATAATAATATGATATCTAGTTTTGTTAGGGCATGATCTGGTTGTTAGGGTCTCTGCTAGTATTAAATAAATCTGGAATGAGAGAATGTGTTCATAAGAAACGTATTTCACAGAGAAATAATTATATGATATCTAGTTTTGTTAGGGCATGACCTGGTTGTTAGGGTCTCTGGGTCGCGAGTTCGAACCCACTCACCGACCATTTAGTCGTAGGGACATTATAATGTGACGGTAAATTCCGCTATTCAATTACAGTAGCCCAAGTAGGTGGTATTGATTAACTGCTTTCCCTTTATCTAACATTTCTAAATTAGAGACGGCTAGCGTAGATAGCTATAAAGTATCTCTGCTCGAAACTCAACAAACAAACAAACAATCTAATTTTGGTTGGAAAGCAGAAAAGGGTTTGTTAATCACGCTGTGTCTATTGATATTCCGATTGAAATGTCTATCGTTAAAGAAATAGCACGTTTACCTCCAAGTAGAAAACGCTTCGAATGTTTTTAATATTGCGAATAATTGTTCAAACAAGAACACCAATCACTAGGTAAAATTATGAACTGGAAAAAAAAAATCATTGCTTTATCGTAACTTCAATTTTTCTATTTTTGCATTTTTTCCCCTCACACTTTGTCACCTGTTGCAATGAAAACTATAATTATCGTGAGAAAATGGCAAAAATAAAAAATAAGCGAGATATTTATGCTAAACATTGGGAAACACTAGATTATTTTGTTAATAAAATACCGTACGTTCAAAGTAATTAACAATTTTAATACACGAAATTGTCTGGTTTGTAGTAGAAACATTTAGGTTAAAATTTGCAAGGTTATTTATTTTTAGTTTACATTATTTAAATCTTTCATTAAAAATTTTATAGTAATCCATTGTTGTATACTCTGAGCTTACCGTTAAGATACTATTACAATAGTACAATAGCCAAACTTTGTTGTATTTCTCATTATTTAATTTCTGTAGTTCATTGTTGTATACTCTGGGGTTACCGTTAAGATACTATTACAATAGCCAAACTTTGTTGTATTTCTCATTATTTAATTTCTGAAGTTCATTGTTGTATACTCTGGGCTTACCGTTAAGATACTATTACAATAGCCAAACTTGTTGTATTTCTTATTATTTAAGTTCTGTAGTTTCGGTTTGTGTTTTAATGAACACTCCTGAAGAAGCTGTAAAGCGAAACGTTGAGTGTCTAATTAAATAAAAACAACATTTTGGTGTTATAAGATCGTTTATTTCTAGTATTTGTTGTATTTCTGTGTGTAAAATTAATGTAGGAATTTATATAATATTCTACTTTGTAGAAAAGCCATAAAAAACGTATCATATTAACACAAGAGTTACTGCTTTGGAAAAAAGTAAAATGGACATTCAGAGATGCATTTATTCCGTGCTTACCCATGTAAAGAAGAACTGTTGCACTTATATAGGCAATACATGTTTTTATCAAGTAAAATGACTTAGGTTACAATGGTGAAAGTGGAGATATTCAAACATTTTGGTATTTTACGATTGAAAAATTCTTTACTATATTATTTCAGGGTGCATGAAAGTTGATTATATTGTAAATAAATACAAAGCTCGTTAAAATCGCTAAGCTACACAATGGGCCACCTGTACTGTGTTTACCACGAGCATTGAAATCAAGTTTTTAGCGTTATAAGTCCACAGACTTGCCGCTGTGCCACTGGGGGACAAAATATATTTCAACTCACCAATTAGTTTATGAAATAGATACATGTATAACTGAGATCGTATAAAATTACTAAGTTTTATAATACACTCTAATAAATTGCTTCTTACGAATTCTAACAGCTTTTGTTGATAATTTAAATTAAGGAAGTTAAGCAGTTTGTTAATATATTTGCCCTTTGACGTTTGATGAATAATTAAATAGCATAAGTAGTATTTTTGGATGTTAAAAATATAACAAATAATATTAGCGTATTTTCTTTGTATATTCGTATAGTTCTCACCACACATAGAGTATTGCACGAAACGAATATCCTTATTTTTTCCTCCCAATTTCGATCTCATAAACATTTTACAGAAAGAAGTTGTGATGCAAGGAGCGTACAGCAGCGTTTAAGTATTCAAGTCAGGAGACGCGTGAATATTGTATGGAATGATAGTTGGCACTGACTCAATGAATGCTAATGTTATTGAGCCATTTATAAAGATATACTTTTCTCCCGTTTTCCCCTCCACCATTGTATTTTGCGTGAGTGTCGTACGTTATCTGATTTATTTATTTGTCTCTGTCTCTTAATGTCCTCCGGTAGGTCAGTGGTAATTTTACGGATTTACAATGATAACATTCGTGGTTCGATTCCTGCGGTGATTAGAATGCAGATAGCCCATTGAGTAGCTCTGCTCGAAGAGAACGAAAAACAGTTGTGTTTCTGTAAAATTGAAAATTGTATTGAAATATTACATAACAGCGAAATGACTGAATTCAGTCCCATAGCATTAAAAATGCGGAATTTATCTATAATTTATGCATTTTTAAGTTTGTTAAATTGGAACAGAAGACACTTATACATGTAGTAAGTAGAAAAACTGTAAGGAGGCGCTTGCCTATGGTTATGCTACAATATGGCGTTTTACTTAAAAAAACAAAAAAAACATTACTTTATGTTGTACTTTTGCAGAATCTCATACGTCAGTTTATGTTTTAAGTTTGGACTCTTTCACGTTATTTGTTCCAAGAGCAGGCATATTTCAAGTAATGTCAGAAACACACAAGTTTTCGTGAAGTTAATATATGTTATGTATTTACAAATACACAACTTTGAGCACATGAAGGGTTGCAGCAGTGTAACACAAACCAAACTCTGCGATGGTCCTGCCATCTTACGTAAGAAATTATAATTTAAAACCAGATACAAATTTTACTTATTATGTTACTAATCAAAATTGAAGACGTTATAATCAATTTTTATATCAAAACATATTTAAAGGTGTTTTATCCAAAATTGCATTAGATCTCAAAAATCGATGAACATAACTTTTGGAAAGTTTGTTTGCTTTTTTAATGCATATCATTAAAAAAATAGTGTGGATATCGCAAAGTGGAAAATACTTCAAAGAATGTTTATGTTTTATATAATTTTCAAATAATTGTTCGAAACAAATGCCAATAACAAGGCTAAGTTATGAACTGAAAAACTTTTCTACTATTTGTTATCTAAAAACAACAACAAACCATTGCGTTACCATAACTTCAATCTTCTATTGAAACATTATTTTTTAGGAATCTTAAGGTTAGTATTGGACCAATATATATTTTAAAAGGTTATATATTGTTTATAAAAACAAGAAAATCTCTATGATATGAACCGAATTTCCTATTAGTAGCATCACATAGAGTTTAATATCTCAAATAATTAAGAAAGATACTTACTTACATGTTTAACGTGTTTTAGGTCTTCTGAAGCTGCAATATATTTTTCGCCTAACTACGGAGAGTTATCAGTTGGACATACGAGTTGTGAAGAGTATCGCTAATGCTTCTGATGCTAATAATTTCCTCCGGTCTATAGAAACTGAGGACAGACAAAGTGTCAAACGTGTTGTTTTAGACTGCAGCGCTGCTACGGCAAAAACTATCATCTATAATCATGTACATGACATCCATATGGGCCGTCGGAATTATCATTACCTCCTCACCAGCTTGGTAAGTGGAATTATTTTGTTCAACAGCAAGTTCACAATTAAGCTTCATCCAAACCAAACCGGATAAAAAATATAAACTAGCGTAACTGTAGAATTAGTTATTAACATTTCTATAGATAAGTGGATGAAATTATTCAATACCTGTGTTCGAATTACATAGTTCAATTTGTCGTCTCAAACAGTCGTTTTGTTACAGAAATTTAAAAAAATAAAGAGTTTAAATCGTGCTCTTTTCTCGTTTGTTGACTAGAATAAATCTTCATGGAGAATAAAATGTTATATTATATTCTGGAGGTTCTCTGTCAGAACAGAAAATGAGCTAATGGTGAGTGGATTTAGTGTTTTATTATGAGGTAAAAAGAGGCATAAGGTCATGATGTACCCTTTGGATATAACTTATATCCGGTCTCAATGTCATAGAGAGAAATATTAGCTATTACTTGGTCTTTTTATATTATTGCACTGATTTCCTTCATCAATTCAACTGACCAGCGCCCAACTAGTGATAATAAAGGTAGGCTGAAATGGTTAACACATTATTAGCAGTTATAGAACTTCATATAGATGAAAATAAGTAATTAATTAAATAAAAGTATTTTGAAAATTTACTATTATTACACTCAATAACATTTTTTTTGGAAAGAGCATTATGAGCTAGAATAATAAAACTTTACATCGTCCTGGACTTCAAAGGCGAATTTTGTGCACAGGTGTTTTAAGCTGAATATTTTTGATGCAAAACTCAAAAGCAGAAATATACATTTTTGAATACTTTATAAATGAAAAGTTTCGGCTTTGAAGTGCTGTCTCTAGGCAAATTAGGTAAATTAGAATTTACTTTATGTTTGAAATGAAATATTGTGAAAGATGTATCTCTTGGAGACGAAAGAAGAAAATGTGCCTACAGATAGATGTCATTAAGGTGTTTCTTAAAGTATAAACTTATTTACGTTATTCTTTATGGCTTATACTATTAAAATCTTAGCTAGAATTGCGAAGAGTCGGTATACACGAAAGCAGAAGCGGCTGAGAGTTTTGAGATGATATAAGCTTCAAAACTATTATTAACAAGTATGAGAGACAAAGTCTGTCAATTGCAAATTTTATATGGAATACGAAATGAAATATGTCAAATCAAAACATATCAAAATCGCTCCAAAACAACAACAGATGAGATAAACCGCCTGATAATATTAGGAAATGATGGCAAACAATCTTTAGCTTTTTTGGAAGTGCCTCCAAACTGTAGCCTAGCCAATATGGCGACTTTTTTATTTTTTTTATAAATATTAGCTGCTGTTCCTTTTCCACTCGCTCTTTGCCTATACTTGAATAAGCATGTAGTATGCGGCTGCTGACACACACTTCCTGTCAACTGGTGTGAAGGAAGATATTCATGTGTGAACACTTCGGCATACAATCTGGCAGCGGCCTTGGTATTTTGGTGACACGCTTCATAAAATAGGACCAAATTAAACTGTTTATCAACTGGATATTTGGCAGAAGCTGCAGTACAATGCCTTTGTGCGTCCTTATGTAGGGGGATTTTATTTTAATACTTTATAAACCTCTGAGCCTAATTACCTGAATGTGCCACATTCTGACCATGCACCTCAAACCTAGGTTTGTGTAACTGTCTTTGCTATGGTTAGAGTTTGACCTTCCGTGGCACAACTCCATATGTGATCTTATGATTATCAATTTGAAATATGCACTTCAGTGAGACTAGGGGTAGGAATCAGATATTTGATTTCTGTTGTTGATTTATGGCCGATAAAATCTGAAACGTGGGCCTCCTTGTCATTATTAATACGAATCTGGTGACTGTTGATATTTTTTTACCAGTTTTTGGTTTTTGCATGGTAAATATCAACAAATGTGTGCAATGTTCGATAAATCACGATATTTATGTGGTACTTTTTGAGAGTTGTCTGTTAACTTTAAATGTAATGTTTTGTTAGTATTGAAGTATAACTGATCATTCTGGATAAAGTAATTACTGTATTACTATGTTAGTATGATTAATACAAACTAATGGTGAAACAGATTGCTTATTAATTGCTATGGTATTATTATAGTGTTGGTACATGCCTTGTAATTAGCTGATCACCCTCTCTTACAATAATAACATATGAAACTCAACTTTAGGAGTCCTCAAATTATTTTCTGAAAGTAAATAACAGTCCAGCAATGTCCTTTTCTTTCATGAAATCCTCTTAATATGTCTATAAGAAAAGTTTAAAATCAATATATTTAAAATTTATTGTTGCAGCTCACACAGTCAACATATTTCAACTGCTTGTTCTTGGAGTAGTGTTTTCCAATACCTTACTAAAAATTGTTTGTGCTTAATCTTTGCCAAAATCATAGGTAACTGAAAAATGACATCTTGAGTTCTCTCTCTTAAAATATTGATATAAAACTGCGTATTGTGATTTGTATTTTAAGTTTCTTATCTTGACCGCACAGTTTGAAATATGAGGTAGATAATTAAGCATTAAATGCAGAAACAAAAAAGAGAAACACTATGATTTATGAGAGAAATCCTACAGGTTATGGACGAATTTTTCAACACAGACACGCCGGAATTTGGAGCAATAAACATCACAGGATTTCGAATGCTACAAACACAGAATTCTGAATACAGAAAACTCCTAAAAAAGTGGAAGTTTCTGGACTCGGATGTTTGGCCAGGAGCGGGTACAAACTATTTATCTGTAAGTGTTCTGTTTAAGTAAATCAGAGCTTATAATTGTTTTGTTAGAATGGTCTAACTTCTTTGATCTCTTCAATCTCTTTCTTTCTTACTTTGCTTATAAATCGTTTTATATATTTATTTTTGGATTGACTTCTTATGTGTTTTCTTTATTTTTTGTACAGTTATTTAAAGAGTCTTTATACTTCTGGACAGAGCAGCAACTGTAGAAAAAATATTCTACTGGTAACGAGAATGAGCTAAGTTTGGCTGAGGTATATTGTGAAAAATCTAATTAAAAAAACAAACACAAACCTCACGTATATATATAATATATTTTGTCCAAGTATGTTAAATAAATCAACAGTGATGGTAATAACTCAATCGTTTACATAAAGGGCTCTTTAAGTCTGCTATAGAACAAAGTTGCTTACTTGTATCGTTTTAGATATGTAATAAGTATTATGACCACAGTTATTATTATAACAAAGATGAACTGATATAGTCTATACGCTCTTTGTACAAACTCATATTATTGAAATATGTTTCCACGTTGCTAACCAAAGGAGATCATCTTTCTACGTATTAAATTATAACTAATTTTGACAAGAATGAACAATTTTGCCTTGTCTTTATATGGATACTTTCAAAAACTATTTTACTGTTATCTCATTTCATCCATTCTTAGCTATAACAGCGTGACATCCAATTCTAAGTACGTTTTTACCAGTACATTATATAAATTTTGATTTTAATAATTAAAAGGTTTTAACCCATAATATCCGGTCATCATCAGGTAACAGATACATTCATTAAGGTAGTTTGAATTTCAGAAAACGTTACAGACTCGTGATGTGGGGAGAACAATTATGTAGGTGGCGTGAAATTATCTTTTTTAGTCAAATGAGGTGAATATCATATTAACACAGATAAAGAGGTTTCTGGATATTTATTTAGTGTTGGCTTTGATGGCTTCATCAGTGTTTCTTCAGCTATTTTTCTTCAAGTTTTGTTTTCTTACCTACTATAGGTTTTTATTGTGGGCCAAATCAAAGTCAAGAGATAAAAAAAAAAATTAGCAAACAAAATATTTTATATCGAGGTTTGGTTAAATTTATATCACGGAAACATCACTATTTAACTAAACTAACTTAACATGAGAAGATACATGTATGTTAAAGTAGGATTTGAGCACCTTCCTTAAAACATCTGATACCACTTTTATCATCTGATGTACTTCTTCCCAATAATTAGGAATGTGAATGAAATAAACATTAAAACTGACGTGTCTCGGTTTACTCTGAGTAAACAGTTCATCGACGCAGACTGGCCTTGTATTTCTGGTGCTTAGCTTTCATATTTACTATTCCTGAACTGCCTTTTAGAATCAAAAGCTAGGATATAATAATTAAAAGTTTAATAATTAAGAAAACTGTAAACATGTTTCTGCTAAACCTACTTAGAACTGGAGGCCTGTTTATTATTATTAGAAGGTTCGTTGGTGAAAAGAGTAGGTGGGTGGGTGGGTTTGACTAACTGCCTTCCCTCTAGTCTTACACTGTTAAATTAGGGACGGATAGCGCAGATAGCCCTCGTGTAGCTTTGCGCGAAATTGAAAACAAACAAACAAACATTATTAGAAGTAGGAAGAACGAAAGTAATTACATTTTGTAAACTCTACTGAGAATCGGAAGACAGGTTATTATAACTAAGAATAGAATAAATCGAAAACTATCAGCATGTTTCTATAAAAACTATTTAGAATAGAGGTAAGGTTACCATAGAAATAAGAAAACCGTAACTAAGGTTTTGAACAACTTCGAATAAAAAAAACATATTTATCACTGAAACAATATCGAAATTCTCCTAAGAAGAAAAATAGGCACCATTTGATTTGTCTATTCATAGGATCAAGTATTTCACAAAAAACACGATTCAATGTGTGTCAAACGCATGAAAAATTGGTTAATGGTATCAGTTTAAGAAAATCAAATATATATATATATATATTAGTGTTCACAATACTTTTACATTTTTAAAGGATAAAAATAAAATTCACTTAAGAAAATTAATACTGTTTGAAACTAGTCAAGTGTACTTTTTTCATGAACTCATTTAATGTTAGATAACTATATACATCCTTTATTATCAAAATATCTAATGCAATCAATACAATTTTACGTCATCAGTATAACGAGCCCCCAGTGGTACAGCGGTACTTACAACGCTAGAATCCTGGTTTCGATACCTGTGGTGGGCAGAGCACAGATAGCCCATTGTGTAGCTTTGTGCTTCATTACAAACAAACAGTATAACGACTTTCAAAAAGCATAAAATGATTTGACTACAGTTCAAGGAGCTGCATAATCTTAAGAAAATACTACTTAACCCTTTTGAAAAGTATCTGTATATATCGTAGGACTTTCTTAATGACCAAGGTTTTATCACTTTCTTTGAAATTAAAATTTTACAGTAATTATTGAATATGTTGTTGTTTTAGCCTTAAGAATACGATATGTTTTTCTTTTTAATTTTAGTTACTAGAAGAAAGATTGTCTCTATATACACAATAACAGCATATGCCTCAGGAAAATTAAATTTCAGACATTTATATGAAAATTAAAGAGAGCTTTCGTTGTTGCTAGCCTTCTTTAATTTTGAAGTAATAAAGTAGAGGGAAGGCCACTAGAAAATAGCATTCGTCACTAACTCTTGGGCTACTCTTCCCTGACTGTTGTAACCATAGATATTATATTCTGTATATTCGACAATAAATACATTATAAATATAAATACAATAACATACATACCGTTCTCTACTTATATGATTTCATATATATAGCAATAATAATATGTTGCTTTCTTTTATAAGATAACAATATTGAGAGGTATTTTCAATATCCCCATGCAGTGAAGTTAATTATGCATCCTAAAACAATCAAAATACGTTTTATTGTTAAAAAGTGATTATTTTTCAAGCAGCAAAGTTCATTTAGCAGGTATCTGAAAATGTCTCCAGATATGTTTCTGTCGTGCACCAGCATGTCAATACCTTCTCTGAGTCTGTAGGATTACGAAGAACAGTAATGACCCATAATTTTAAAGTTAAGAGCAAATTTTTATTTCTAAATTAATTTTTTTTACCAGCACATATCATTGCAAGATCATTTGTATGAAGAAAATGTTGTCAATGATCATTAAATTCAAATACATTTGTAAATTTACAAGAAAACTTTATCCCCAAACTTCCATATTAATCAGATAGTAATTGTGTTCACACCTTCTTAAGTTCGGCCGCAATTCTCTCTCCGTGTTCCCATGGAATTATGGGACGGTTGTCACATAAAATACCTTTGGTTCCGTTGTTGTAGATCTGTCCTCTTCTGAAATTGTTTCGGAAAAGATTAGAATTCTGTGTGAAGAGTCGGTTGTACGTATCTAATACCACTTTCACACCATCATACATTAACGCCACGTCCGACTGTAGGAAGAAAGAAAGAGTACGTGTTGGTGCACGACAGAAACATATAAAACGTGATTAGTGTTCTTCGTAGTCCTACAGACTCAGAGAAGGTAAACGTGATTAGTGTTCTTCGTAGTCCTACAGACTCAGAGAAGGTAAACGTGATTAGTGTTCTTCGTAGTCCTACAGA